TGCTTCGCATGTAAGAGGCCCCGGGTTCGAACCCCGGCATCTCCACGAGTTTTCGCTCAAACTGTGCCCTATCGGACACATTTCGCTACAATGCCAGGAGACACAAATTGGAACAAACGGAAAAAAACAAAACAATCAGACACATACTTCGAATGCTCTCATCTCATCTGCTCTGCTCAACACGCTCAATCCAAACACAGCCAAACCGTTTGGACCGAGACGTCACAGTCAACTAGTCGCATGCATTTTCAAACAATACAATTCTTACTGCATCCCAATCTGATCGAACAATTTGGAGAAAATCTAGCAAACCGAACTGGGAACTACGCAGTTTCAAGTCACCTGACCGAACCAATCCGCACTCCTCCCATTCCGACCTCACTTCTGCCTCTCCATCCGAATGCAATTCGATCGTGCTGGCCGCAAGCGGTTTCACAGAACTCACCAAGGTGGAACATTAGACCGATCGGATGGAACGCATGCAAGCTGATCAGTCGTTCATGTAGTATTTTTTCTCTTGAATCATTGTTTTGAATAATGAAAATTTCATACTCTATTTTTTTGGTTTTCTATTTGTACGGGCGATATAGTTTTTTGCTGATGTTATCTCCGGGTTGCAGTTTGGTTTGTGTCGGTGCAATTATCGGATTTGAGAATTGGTGCTCATCACATGATTATACTTAGGAGCCTTGCTGTGTCATGTGTTTGGAGGTTCAAATTTGTTGTGATGTGATTTTCCCTTCCCAAATGATAACGAAGTGTTTTCAATTGACTTGAAGGAATTTCGCTCTGTACAGGGAAATTTCTTTTTCTTCGATATTATTATTGTTTCATGTTGTCACCACTTATAATCTGTGTCGGTGAAATTAAGGCAAGACAAATTTACTGCTCATGAGTAGTGTGTTTCTGAACGAGAAACGGTCAGGGTCTACTTTACGGCGTGGTGAACGAAGTCATTCGTCGTTTGCGTTAAATTTGGGATCACACGATTAATGCATCCGCTGTTTAGGTTTTTTTGTGAGGATATATCTGNAAAACATCTTTCTTCTTTACTGTGATAATGATTCATCTGTGGTCAATTTTGGATTGTTCTGTCATCAATTCTATCTTGTTATGTGCTTGCTGCCTTGGTGATTGTTTTCTGCTGATTAGAATCAGTCTTTCCTCAAGGTTCGCCGGAACATGTGCCTGAAGTGCCTAACCATTTCGCTACAATACGGTTCTGGTGCGTTAGGAGTTCCACTGGGCCTTTGGGACTAAGTTTTGATTACTGCATGAGAATGTTATATCTTTAAGAGCCTGAAGACAGCGATCAGTATGAGAAGTATCGTTTTCACCTATATTCATAAATACGACGCTTGTCATACAGATCGCTCTTTGAAGGGTTTTAAACATGCAACACTCTCATCTAGTAATCAATTTTTTGTCCTAAAATCCAAATGGAACTCTTAACGCGCTATAAGCGTACTGTCATAAGTTATTGTGAAACGGATATGAACCGTGTTTTTGTTTCAACAGGATATGCCTTAACAACAAAAACATTGTCGATGCGGTACGAATTTTACTGGGTTTGCGGTTAGAATGATGTCAACCGCTGCGTTGATTGTCACCTGTATTGTTACGCCACACCAACGACATCGTCCCGCTTTCTGGGAATGATGTTGCATTAGACAGACGAGTACGTCTGATCTGGAAGAATTTGATGGCCGCGCACCTGCAAGTGATGATTAATATTATTGAAAGTCGATGTTATGCAGAGGTTATTTACATTGAGTTAAAAACTATCAACTTTCATACACCAATGCGAATCAAATAGCCCTTACATCAGAAATCACTATCATAAACTGGCTACTCATGAGTAGCATGAATATGAAGATCGTTAACGGGTAGCATGGAAAGTAAATTGAAGGCCACAAAATAATCATTCCATTGGATATCGCACACTGATATTTTGAAACTGATTCCACATCCCGTTCGATTCTGGATGGCCTAATTATTAAACTTCTGTGAATTCTCTAAATTAATATAGCTCAAGGTAGATGGAGTCTTGCCATCTGTGCATTAATCCGAATAGGTGGTGGGTCCTGGCAAAGTGTAACATTGAATGATCGGTATTGCTGTACCTGCGAATTGATTGTCTACCCGTTCGAAATACCTATTCCATTCCACTGGATTGCATACAAGTAATTGTTGAGAAGAATTCAAACAGGCCTGTGGGCGGTGCACTACTTCTTTTTTATAAATGTATTCATTTAATTTCATATTTAACCCTTTTCGTGTGAAAGATCATCCACATTGGATTGCTAAAAAGGTGGTGGTGCTCATCTTTGAGATTTACTACTTCCTTACTATTTGCATACATAAAAAAACCGATTCATCCCGAGATCCATTCATCGTGACGGTACATCCACAGATCGGTATCTAGACTTGAAAAACGGTGCTATTAAGGAAAAAATCATAGTGCAGTCAGGAACTCTCTCTCTCGAGAGCATTTAGACTCCGGACAGGCAAAGAGAAAAGAAATAACTTTTTCAAGTATCACCCAACAACTCCCATTGAAGAAAGAAAGAAACGCAAAATGACAGATAGAGAGATGTGCACCGAAGTGGGTGAAGCATTCACCCACATATTGAAAACGTAAGTGGGATGAGAAGATGAAAATGCCGATCACAAATAGATCACTCACAAAACAACTCGGTTTGATCAAAGACAAGAATCAAAAATTCTGCTCGTCCAAATCGATTGCAAACATGATAAAAAAACTTAATTCAACCAACATGAGAAGAGAACACACACAAACTCGAAGACATGATCGTCAACTGGCTGTCCATTCAATCGTGCTATTTTCGATTTCACAAACACCAAGAAACAAATACATAGGTTGGATTCAGCCAACATCCAAGTTGTCGATTGCAGTCGCTCTCAGGATTAATTTCCTAAAACTGAACTCTGCTGAGACAATTCAGACTATCCGTAGAACTGGGCTCCAACACGAAATAGACGAGGAAGNNAGTGAGGGACACCGAAAACGCACTAATAATTCGAGGGAAAGCTACATTCCGCGCTGGACATCAAATAAAGTACAGCCTTGATTGAGATAATTTGTCCTCGTCTGACGACGAGGCACCGGAAAACCACCCGTACAAGAGGGGCAAAGAAACGTGGAGAAAGCAGCGAAAATCCGGGCTTGTTCTAACGTTGGGTTTGAGTTAACCCCTACGATTTTTTCAGGCTCCACGTACCATGTATAGTCAATGACAAAATACCTGCCTAGTGCTTCTTGTCGCTCATCATAAATAAAATGTACGAACTGTCTAAGGGTAAAAACCCACATGTGAGACAAAAAACAGTGCCTCGATAAATTGAATCGATTAACCGAAACATTGATGTACCTATTAGCTCAGAATGTTCACCGTCGATCAGCAGTGGGAACTTCTACTCGTAACACGAATAATCACGGCTCGAGTCCGGGTAGGGACGCAAAGAATCGGAAACGTACCATAACAAGAACAAATAAGCCCTCTGAGGGCTTTTTATCGACCAATGATAGGGAAAAAACCATTTTCCTCATCAAAGTGACTATTTCCTCCTAATTTACAGTATATTTTAAAATTAGTTTTATAAAATTTGAATTTCCGGATTTTAACGCCAAAAAAGCCTCATGCCGCACCACCAGTCATATTCGATCCTCATTGGTCTATTTATCCATGACTCTACTTTAGAGATCATTGCTGGCCGGTCCCCAAACTGCATATAAACAAACGAGTTGTCCACAGTCTTTGCCTTTTTGGTCGAGCCAAATACGCAACCTCGCCTGAAGGCCTGTCTTCCGCGTTCCCTCTGGTCGGGTTCGAGGATCGTTTTTTTCCGGTTCTGTTAAGATTTGCTTTGGATACCGCACTGGTATACTGTCCACTTATCCGCCGGGTTGTACGGTTCTGCTCGTGGTCATTACTGTCGCACGTATTGTTGAGCCACGGTTCGTGCTGGTTCAGTCATATCATCCATTCTAACGTTACNGTTGCGCCTCCTAAGTGGTACAAAGACTCCACGTTACTACTCCGGGGATCAATGCAAATTATGAGCTTTACTGAGTCCATCCCATTTCTATAAATGCACATAAAAGTCGCGGGTAGATGAAAAATCCTGAGAAACTGATCTATTGGTAATCACAGCAAAATGACATCTACACGTTATCCACGACAAAGGAAGAACACCGGTGCATCGGATGGGTAGCATGATACAAATGGGAAATAGCACACACACACACAGTGCGTGTGTAGTCACTCGAAACGGGGATTGAGGTCACTAAGATTACTAGAGTGTTGGCCTCTTCTAAAGTAACAAATGCCCAAAATTTGAGGATGATAAAAAAGCGGGAGAATCTAGTGCTTGGGGTCTATCGGTGTCACAATTCAGTGAGTGCGGCGGGGGTGTGTGTGAGAGAGAAAACGTTCTCAAGTCATTATCATTT